AATATAGGTATATACTAAGTTTCAGTCTTTCTAGTGTTAAACACATTTTTTTACAATAAAATTTTCTATAATTATTTAACGAACGAACAGCCGCTGAGTTTGCCAACTGATTAGGAAGTCTCGTGCGCGACGGGTTGTTCCGATCAATTCAACTCGTCAGACGAGTAACCCGGTGAGTCGGGAGCGCGTTTTTCTTTCTCCACTTCCCTCGACTTTTCACGGTACTTTAACTTCGAAAGCTGGACTCTCGTTCCATTTCGCTCGGATTGACGCGACTCCGTCGCGACGATTCATCAATCGTTTCCGCTCCGGCGACGCGTTGTCGAAAGCTCAGCTCCCGACGGGACGCGCGGACATTATTTATTTTAAACGGTTGATAAGCGGCTACGTCATCAGGACTTGTCGTCTTCATTAGCTGTCGCCGCAGGTCCTGTGGGAGCCACGACTAGCTTCCTGTAATTTGTCGCTTTCTTTCCTCCTACGTGACAACGCGTTGCTTTCTTTCTTCTATTTACCGGGACTGATAAGACTAGAGATTTTTTTTTTTTTAAATTGTATGAGCTGTGATATCTCTGCTAAAAGTTGAAGACATGTAATGAAAAGCTGTGTCCAATATTTGAGGCGATGAACTTTTAGAAAAAATAATAATTACGGAGGTTTGTGGGATAAGAATGATGTTGATGTCAGGAAATTAATGTAGGNATACAACAAAATCTGTTAAATATTACAGTTTGCAATTAGTTTTCGTGCTCAATTACAAAGGGTTAAACTATGCAAACGGCAACGATTTAAAACTACAATGCAACGACTGCACTTCTCTTCAACAACGACCTTTTCCCTCAAAGACTTCGCAACGATTGTCTTTTCTTTTGTTTTTTAGTCCCATCCCGGTCGTGTTACGCATCAAGTGGGTTTTTTCCATAATTCTAGGAAAGTACGCATCTCGGAGAAAGTCCGTTTCGTTTCTCACTCAATCAGTTGTACAGACCTTGAGCACAACGCTACGTCTTTACCATAAAACTCTTAACAAATCCCTAAAACTATTTTTCTATCCTACAGGTTGATAATCTTAAGTATAAATANTCTTAAGAGTTCGAAAATCAATAGTTTATTGAAATTTAATAGAAGAATTGGTACGACCAGATTATATAAATTATTTTGTAGATTGATGAACGATTCCCTTGATGGTAAGGGATTTTTAACGAGTGCCGGATTTGTAAAAAGATTTTACGTCGACCGATGAATTAATCGTAACGTCGTGAGCCGAGGATGTCCGCAATGCATTATGAAAGAACAGAGAAGTGGGTTATCGTGTTCTAGCACGAATCGAACTTTTTAATCTCGATTTTAATTGCATCGTACCATTTCCTACGAGGATTATATCAGTCCCCCCTTTGTGCATCACGATTTTGATAAATCCCGTTCAAAAAAGAATTATGTCAGCCTGTTAATAAAATAAATGTCCTAATTTCTACCCACTGGCTCGTTTTTCTGTAAATATATTATTCTAGAATTATAGAAAAGAGTCACAGTGAGTAGAAATCACTTTGCAATATATTGACGAAATATTGAAAAATAATT